TAGCTACTAACTGTTATCCTTAAGCTAGTAATTAGCATTAACTAATGTCCCGATGCTAGTAACAATCATTCTTTTTGTGCCAATCACCAATAATTAGCATTTCTAGGGTAAACCTTTTCCCAAACTATTAAAACTACCCATATGGCAAAGAAATAGAAAAAACTTATAAAAGACTTGCGTCAGCTTTAGCTTGCTAGTGAATCATATAAGGCTTAATATGAGGCACTTTCTCATTACTTTCATATATTGTTTTAGTAAGTATCCAAAACATACAAGTTTCATTTATATAAATGTTCAAGGGATCTTACATCTGTTTTCACTCTTGTATGCTTTTCATACAAGTTTCACACAAGACAGATACAAACCTTAGAAGATTTATATATATCTTTTCCATACTGACTGCATTTTTTTTAATCCTGCCACCAGGGGAATGTTGGTCATTTTTCCCATTAAGAACATTCTGGTCAGTGTTCAAACATTACATGTACATGTTACAGGAAAAACAACAGGAAAAGACAAATCTCATCATTGGTAGGCAGTCGACTGCTGAGTAACATGTTTAACAACCTCCTGCATTATAGAGAAAATGTATTTTAGAAAAATCATGTACAAAATCGATGAACTAGAAGAACTGTAAAGTGAACAAATAAGAAGCCATACTTGCGTTTTCTAAAGATAGGCCAAAACCTTGCTGCATCCACCCCTTCATATTTTTATTCAAAGTCTTCTGCAGAGAGACAAAACAAACACGGGGTCATGATTAGTAAAGCTGACATTGTCTTAGCTTAGAAGGGGCTCTCTCGTGGCAGATTTTAACAATCTCTTACCAATCCTGTGATAAAATGGAAAAATCCACGCCGGGCATCGGTCTCATAGATGGAGTTGTTGGAGTCCTCCTGTGAGCTTGATGCCCTGCTCTTTTTATTGTGTGGTTCTTGTGTTCCATCACTGCTTGATTTTTATTTACTGGTCTTCTTTCTGAAAGCAGCTGCAAAAAAAAAATATACATGTCTACAGATGATCATTTACTATAAATGAAAAAAATAGTCACTTCAGTGTTGTCTGTCTGCCTTACCACTACATATTTCAAATACAACGAGGGTTTCTAGACAAAAACATGGCTGTGCCATGGGCTCCCCGGTGTCACCTATTGTAGCAACCTTTACATGGAAGAAGTGGAAAGGAAGGCTCTTGGCTAAAGGGAGAGTACCCAGCCACTGGTACAGATATGTGGACAACATCTGGGTCAAAATCAAAACACAAGAAGTGGAATCCTTCACTGCGCACATTAACTCTGTGGATAAAAACATCAAGTTCACCAGGGAAGACACAAAGGACGACTGCTTGCCTTTCCTGGACTGCGCCGTGCACATTGAAGAGAACGGCAACCTCAACATTGAAGTTTACCGGAAGCCCACACACACGGACTAGTACCTCCTCTTTGACTCCCATCATCCTCTGGAACACAAACTTGGAGTCATTAGGACCCTACACCACCGGGCAGAACATGTTTCCTCTAAGCCTGAAGGGAAAAAGAAGGAACACACATGTGTAAAGGAAGCACTAAAAACATGTGGTTATCCTAACTGGGCGTTTATAAAGTCAGCAAAGAGGCACAGAAAAGAAGATCAGACACCAGCGAGGGAGGATAAGAAAGACAGACGCAACAACATTGTCATCCCCTATGTAGCTGGTGTATCAGAAAAACTCAGGAGAGTTTTCTCCAAGCATGACATCCCGGTGTACTTCAGACCCAGCAACACGCTCAGACAAAAACTGGTTCACCCGAAAGACAAAACTCCTAAACACAAACTTAACAATGTGGTGTTTGTTGTACAGTGCAGCGAGGAATGCCCAGACCTCTACATTGGAGAGACCAAACAGCCACTTCACAAGCACATGGCACAACACAGAAGAGCCACCTCCACAGGACAAGACTCAGCAGTCCATCTGCATCTAAAGGCCAAAGGTCACTCTTTCGAGGATGCCAGTGTTCACATTTTGGAGAGAGAAGACAGACGGTTTGAAAGAGGAGTGAAAGAAGCCACTGTGAGCGACCATCTTTGAACAGAGGCGGTGGCTTACGACACCAACTGTCTGCCATCTATAATCCAGTTCTGAGATCCTGTCACTACCCGATCTGTACCGGAAACCCGATCGGTACCCCGCATGCGCGAAAAGGTGTCTACTTCCGGTCGAAGCGTTTTACGATAGAACAGAGTATCTGTTAAGATGTTAAGAATAATAAGTATCTCTTAAAATGTTTCCAATAATGAAACATTTCAATATAATGTAGACAAAAACTAAAACTAAAAAGATAGTTATGGATCAGGACTCCCTGATCCTTACTGCGCATGTGAAAAGTCTGACCATACAAATCGGGTCTACCCGATCCTTGCCACCTCCAGAGGAATCTTGGTCATTTCACCATTAACCCTAGAACACTATCGCTAAAAGTAGTAACACCATCACTAACGCCAGGTGATTTTATACCCAACAAAAAGTACTTCTCATCAAAATACTACAACACATGACAAATTAGAGTGGTCTTCTTTTTTTCCTCAACTGTGCCATGTCTAACAAGATCATGAGAATAAAAGAAAGAAAAATCTGTGTTGCTCTGGATTCTTCTGCAGAGCTGCAGTTTAAAAACTTTAAGCTATGTTTAAAGTGTTTAAAAAACATTTTCTCCATAGCTTTCATCACTGGCTGAGGCTGGAGCCAAACAAACCTGCAATATTACAAAACCTGTTTTGATCAAGCTCACGAGCAGGATGAAGATTTGGGGAAGGAGGTACGGCTGCATGCAGGTTTACTGTAGCGGCTCAGTTCCATCAAAGGGTTTCCACTAATTTAAATATATTTAGCCAGCAGGGAGAAGCAGACTTACTTCTTTGTGCCTGCGTGTGATAAATCTTTCATGCCTTGCTCCAGAAAAACTACTTTAATACTCTGAGGTTGATGTGGAGTGTTGGATATGGAGCATCTCCTCATTGCTGTTGTGGTTTTCCGCTGTTTCAGGTTGGTTTTGACACCAGAAACCTTTTCATTAAAGGCTGAAAACGACCACATTGAAATGTCAGAATAAAACATTAAATATGCTTGTGAGAGTTTCCATGTTAGTGTAATTGTAATATATATATATATATTTACTTTATTTCTGCTGTAAATTTGGAGTTTTAAACAGAGCTGTATGAGAATTGACTCACTTTTGGAGGCAGCTTCAAGTGGCAACTAGAGGAACTGCAGTTTTTTGGCATTTGCGTTAGCTATTAAAAAACAAACAAACAAAAACACTTAAACTAATGCTTGTTGATAATTGACTTTGGTTAATTGACTCATGTTGTTTGGATGAGCAGAGGTTCATAGCAAAGGCTGCAACCCACATCCTGCTCATTATGGGCAAAAATAGTCTGAGCATGCTCAAAATGTGCCCTTATAGCGGCCTTCTTCTCAAAACAATAACGTTATAGCTGTCTATAAAATACTTCCTGGGTTACACTGTCTCCCAGGTGTTTCAGCTGCAGTACAAAGCAGCAGTGACCTGCTTCACTTCTTCACTTCTGTTGTCTAACTTTTCCTGGTTGCTGGTGAGGGGCCTGTATCTGCACACTGTGCTGCTCTTCAACTTCATTCAAACCAGGAAGCTGCTGTGGATGTTGGCTGGGGTCATTTTGGTCATTTTAAATAATTTCTTTGTCAGACACAAGATTAAAGAGTAAACAACCACAAATATTATTAATCATACTATGATCAGCATTAAAGTGCTGATTATGTTCAAGCTTAAAATGAAGTTCCTGAATCTCGTGACCAAAATCACGAGTGTTCAGATTATCTTTCTTTTGTTTTATGGGCCACAGATAAACTTTGTGATCTTCCTGAACATCAGCAGCATCAGTTTCCGAAGATGAAGAGCACCCACGTGAACCAAAGTGAGACATGTGTGTACATGTTACATGGGGATTATTGATTATCTTAACATCTGTTTTGTAGCCCCCCCCCCAACATGAGTGTTTTATATCTGTCTCCTGCTGATCTGCTGCCCTCTGTAGGAGACTCGTCCACTCTACTCGCCTCCTTATCCCTGTTTGGCTTCACCATGTTGTGTTCAGCACGTCACCGTGGGTCCTTGACTCTACCTAAAGTTAGTTTTAAGCTCCTTCCAGGTAACGACCCAAAAAGTCCTAAAATATGTTGTCAGCTATTTACATTTTTCATGTTGTCTCAGGGTTTTACTGCAGTGTTTTACTGATTTCTAAATCGAGAGGTAACTTTGTTTTTTGCAAAAATGCATCTTCACAACAACAAGATTTGTCAAATGATCAGCAATAAAAAACATGACACTCTATTGATTGCATAAACGCAAAGAAAGACTAATGAGTATCGTGTGTTTTATAGCAACTTTGTGTATTTTTATTCTTGGGGGGGCTATCAGTCTAGTTCATTCATATTTTCATTCTTTTCATCATCTCTGTTTGTCTGAACTCGGAGTCGGCGAAGTGAAAAGGTCTCATTAGCAACTGCTTCATGTGTACACAGGCACGGACGCCCCATCAGAGACCTCAGGGGCCCCCAGGTACAAAGAAACAAAGGGCAGGCATGAATGAATAGGTGGAGGAGCCACACAGTAACCCTCTGATGAAATGAATTCCTCCTCTGCTCTCTGAGCCCGAGTTTGATGAGTGTGATAAATTGAGACCATTCAGCACAGGGAGGGTTTTAAAAAAGGTCTCCATGTTGAAAAAAGCATTCCCACCCTCCCCGTCTTCCTGTCTGAATGGCCTAACCCACATGGTTCACAGAGTGCCCTCCCCCCATGTGTATGTTGTCTTTTCCTATTATAGCGCAGAGTTATCCGGCTGCACGGCCGTAGGACTCTGGTGTTGGATGGCACCCGGCCTGTGCGTGTTTCTGGAACAGCTTTCATCAGAAAGACTTCACTCCTTCAGTCTGCACAGCCCTCAGAATGAATTCCACAGTGAATGTGAGCGATGAGCATACTGCTCATGACTTCATGTTTACGTCCGAATCTGTGGGAGAGGGACATCCTGGTGAGTAGAGGAGTGCTGCTCATCATGTGAGAAACTGCTTTGAGCGCTTCAGTGATCATTGATGGTTTTGAGGAATGCGCAGAAGCCTAATCGGTGCTGCATAAAGTCTGCTTTCATGGAGCCACACGGTGCTGATTTGCAGAGGAGGAATCCTGGACTGAGAAAACTTCCACTTTAGTTCCAATATAAGCAGAACTTGTGTTTTAAGCTGAACATCTGATGAGTCACTTTTTTGTCATGAATAATTTTTACATCTGCAGCTGCTGCTGGAGCCATTTTTGTGGTGCAGACATGTGACGTATGTTCTGTTAGGAAAAATGTGTCTTCGGCATAATATAAATTATGTCATTTATAAAGTAAATAGTGCAGCTTTGCATCTTTTCTTTAATTTTCTAACAAGTGCATGTTTAATGCACTGCAGATGTTTAGCTTAATCCCACCCAGCCACCAGGAAGTGGTTGAAGAGCAGATTTAACCTCATCACACTTTGCATTGTTACAATTCTGCAGAACGCAACATGTGAGCATCATGTAAAATAATCAGGATAACAGCTAGATTTTATAACATCTTTGCTGATGTGTAAAAATGGTGCTGGTTCACAGATAATCCCTTATATCAGGTGAGTTTTGAAGACGTGTGCAGTGAAAGTGTCAGCAAATATAATTCATTTAAAATTACACATAAACATGTGCTTTAAATGTAAATGTGTAGTTAAAACAGCAGCAAACCAAACTTTACAGATGGGGAAAATCCATGTTTGTAATTTAAAAAAAACAAACAAACATGAAAGTTTCACCAACAATAAGCCGATAATATAACATTTCTACATTTTTAAGGGTGATGTAAAAAATGTCCATCATAAAGCAGGAGAGTAAATTGAAGTTACAGAAGCTTCAGTGCCGTAGTGCTGATACAGTTTGGGAGTGCTTTGATGATGGAGTTAGAGTGTACCGTGTCACGCTGGCGTGTATTCACCAAATCAAGGCTATTCATAGTCCTGTAACTGCCAGAGGGAACAGGGTGATATTTTCGGGCTCTGCCCAGATCAGGAATCTGGCATGTGCAGTAAAACGATCGCACGACAGACCGAACCAGCACACATGCAGATATTTATGCCTTTTAGACTTCTCCTTATTCTATTTTTTCCAGATAAGATATGTGACCAGATCAGTGATGCTGTGCTGGACGCTCACCTGAGGCAAGACCCTGATGCTAAGGTGGCTTGTGGTGAGTTTGAGTTTTTGTCCACTAGAGGGAAGCAACACACAGGGAAGAGGGACATTTAAGATGGATGCAAATGGTAATAGTGTCCATGACATTGGTTAAGTGAGACATTAAAAAAGGAGGGTGGGTTGCAAACAGGCTTGCATTTTCTTTTGACTGTAGTGGGAAAAAAATCGCCCATCAGAATATGTCATGTAATAAATGCAGGTGTGATAAGATAAAGCTTCCCACGCCTCAGCATCTTTTGTTTGTATTTCTTTAAATTATATGTCTATTTTTAGTTTATGGAATGAAAAAGACGATATCGCTGGTTCTGCTGCAGGAAAACTCCGTGAAATATTCATTAACAGCAGTGATCCTGACAAAAGAACATCACTTCCCAAGCAATTCAATTCACTTTAATCCAGGACACCAGCAGTATTACATCAATAGTCAGGAAGGACATTCACATCTGATGGCATGAATACACATATACAGTGTGATGTCCTGTGTGTGGATGAAACAGAGACGGTGTGTAAGACGGGCATGGTGCTGCTCTGTGGGGAGATCACGTCTCGAGCCAACGTGGACTACCAGAGAGTGGTGAGAGAAGTCATCCAGCATATTGGTTACGATGACTCGCAGAAAGGTGAGTGAAGTTTTTAACGTTTTGGCTGTAACTTCATCTACACTGGGATTCCAGGGAGGAGAAATGCTTTCAAACGAAAACATCCCTTTTCTTCTTTTTCCTCTGTTTTTCCAAGGATTTGACTATAAGACCTGTAACGTGCTGGTAGCCCTGGAGCAGCAGTCACCTGACATCGCTCAGGGAGTTCATATCGATCGCACGGAGAGCGAAATCGGAGCTGGAGACCAGGTCATCTGAGCGCCTACATTTCAATTCTGGGCTGAAACACCAGTTTTTTCTTCTTCAGAATATAAAGTGCTGCTCTTTGACTGTACTCGTGCTGCATGGACAGGGTCTGATGTTTGGATACGCCACAGATGAGACAGAGGAGTGCATGCCCCTCACCATAGTCCTCGCCCACAAACTCAACGCTAAGATGGCCGAGCTGAGACGAAATGGGACGGTCCCCTGGCTCCGCCCAGACTCAAAGACACAGGTGAGGTCAGAGTAGAAAACTGTGTAGACATGCCTGAACCTGCAGTGTGAGGCAGCCAGGGTGGCATACTTAATGGCATGTTTGTTGTGGAGAAGAAAGCTGAACATGCTTCCATGAATCCCCACGAATGAGGTCCAGCAGCCTTCATTCAACTCTTCATGTCAGCTTTGTTGGGCTCTGCTTTAACAGTGTTATTTGTGAAGTAGATTCAGTAGAAGTAGCTCCCTCGTGTAACACACCCAAGTCTCGTTAAATCAAAGTAAAAGGACTAAAAGTGGAAATGCATATTGTTTTGCTACAATAACATTAACATAATGTTCACCTTTCCGTAGGTAACAGTTCATTACGCCCAGGAAAATGGTGCTGTGATCCCCAAAAGAGTGCACACTGTGGTGATCTCCGTGCAGCACGATGATAACGTGTGTGTGGAGGAGCAGAAGAAGGTGCTGAAGGAAAAGGTCATCAAAGCCGTGGTGCCTTCACGCTACCTGGACGAGGACACCATCTATCACCTGCAGCCCAGCGGACGCTTTGTGATTGGAGGGCCGCAGGTAAAGAGCCGAGAACATTCGAAGTCCCCGAATACTGTTTACGTTGATGTCACGCAGCATGAGGATGCTGGCAGTGGCTTTTAGTGCACAGCTCAAATATGATGGGGTTCAAATCTAATTGCATAGTTTCAAAGTGTAAAAACAAATAATGTAGTGAAGATCTTGCTTGCTTGTGTGCTGTGTGGATATAAATCTTTGTGATTTCTCTCAGGGTGATGCAGGAGTGACGGGCAGGAAAGTCATCGTGGACACGTACGGTGGTTGGGGGGCCCACGGGGGCGGAGCTTTCTCTGGAAAGGACTACACCAAGGTGGACCGCTCGGCCGCCTACGCTGCACGCTGGGTGGCAAAATCTCTGGTGAAGGCCCAGCTGTGCAGGCGGGTACTGGTGCAGGTGAGACCTCGTTCCAGTTTCATCTTCTCCAAAAGGTTTCTGAGATGTGTGCAGGATGAAAAGGCTCAGAAGTCTGTTTTCTGAGTCATTTTATGCAAATCATTCTTTTGGATTTTTGTGGGACTCAGCTGTTATGCTTGTCATTACTTTGCGGTTCAAACCTTCTGCTTGTGAGGGGAAACAATCAAAAGGCTTAAATAGAGAGGGATGGTGGTGCACCAAGGTCCAATTAAAAGTAAATTAGAATGGTTTTAAACTGTGAATCAAGGAGTTAGTTTCTCCTTTTTTTGGACTTTATAAATAAATAATAATAAAATAATTGTGGAAAACCCAGCAGTACGTGGCACTATCACCAGTGGTATCACCATCATCACGGTGGTGATAAAACAACATGTTCATTAATCACATGCTGTGTTTTTCCAGGTGGCGTATGCGATTGGAGTGGCCCACCCACTCTCCATCTCCCTGTTCACCTACGGCTCCTCTCCAAAGAGCGAGAAGGAGCTTCTGCAGATCGTCAATAAAAACTTTGACCTCAGACCTGGAGTCATAGTCAGGTCAGGGTTGCACCCACACCACCGCCTCAGTGTTTTATAATCTCTGTCCAAATCTGTTAGACTGTACTGAATCTATGTCGACTGCTTGCTGCTGCAGAGACCTGGACCTAAAGAGACCAATCTACCAGAAGACGGCATGCTACGGACACTTTGGCAGGAAGGAGTTTCCCTGGGAGGTCCCGAAGAACCTCAACTTCTAGTGTGTGTGTGTGTGTGTGTGTGTGTGTGTGTGTGTGTGTGTGTGTGGTGGAGTCCATATGGCCTTTGTTCATTGCTCTGAGTCTGAGGTGTGGGTGGGTCAGAGGTGTTCCAGCTGTCGGCGACAAAGTCCCTAAATGACAACTGTGAAGCATGAGAGATATTTACACTTTAAATCTAAACTGTTAAAGAAAAAAATAAACCGAGTGGATGACCAAATTTTAAAGGAGAAAAACCGTGCATGGGTCATGTCTCAAGCGTTTCAGTGAGTTTTTGAAGAGCCTGTGGGGATTCTGCACATGTTTGAGGTTTTCTCGTGCTCTTTTATGACTATTTCAATGACAAACTCTGACAGTCAGCTAAACCTCTTTGAATAATTTTTATCACAAGCGTCTCAGTTTTGCCTGGATAAAAATGAACTTCCATCCACCCAATTAAGGGTCACTGGGGGGCTGGAGCCTTTTCCAGCTACTATAGGGCGAGAAGCACGGACAACACATTGAACTCACATTCACATCTATAGACAAATCAGAGTCACCACGTAACCCAACTCTACTACCTGCATGTCTTTGGACTGTGGGAGAACGCCGCAGTATGCAGAGAGAACCCACGCAGACACAGGGAGAACGTGAAACAGCCAGATGGTGGATTTAACTCAAGACATTCGGGCTGTGAGGCCACCATGCTCCCCTGTAAAGGAATTTATTTAACATGAACAACAACACACGTCTACCAAAGACGGATGACGTCAGAGGACATGGAAGTAGACAGTCTGAACTGCATCAGCTGATGACACCCTCACATCAGCTGATTTTTGTTTTTAAAAGACAACTTTCTAAGTCAAAATGACTCCGAAGCGTCTTTAAACCATACATAAAAACATTTTTTTTAATCAACTTGCTATCAGGGGTGGGAAGGTGTACTAGTATCTGCTGCCCTTGGCACTTCCCAAGGTTTAGCCAACTTTCCCCTACATGGCTTGGATGTGGCATCCTGCTCCTGTTACATTGCATGGAAAACACCAAAATGATTTTGATGAGAGTTTGAGGTTAAAAGAACAGAAGCTGAATAATCTTAGAACTTTGTGAGGTTTTCTGCAGGTGTATAAACTTTTCCTCAGGCTTCATGCAGTTTAGTACGATAACGTGAGGTTTTTAATGAGATGCAGACGACCAAAGATGAAATCCAAATGTCCCAGAGAGGCTTCATATGTTAGCATTTATTAAAGTTTAAAGTTAAGATTTTTCTTCCTGCATGCTTACCAGAATATATATTTTTTACTATCAGTGTAGAATTTTTTTGTTCGTTTGTTTATCTGTTAGATACAGATGGGTACAAATTAGGGAAAAGAAACAAAACACTAAGTTACTTTGGCCACCGTGTGGCGCCAAAGGAGCTCCGATGCGCGTTGGTTTTGCTTCAGAACTCTGCAGGAGGGACGGAACAATTCTAAATGCCAGTCATCATTTCGGTCTTTTAATATGCGTTGATACAAAATTTCACAATTTCTGGTATTCATCTCATCAAACCAATATGTCTTCTGCATGGGAGCCTTTTCAGTTTCATCAGGATGGAAATGTTTATTCAATCAGAACAACTTTGTACTGATTTGCAGTGAAGCTTTCCTCGAGGATCTTTACAGTTTAAAGCTCAATAAACCTGAGTCAGTGGATTCCTGTATATCTAAAGCTAACCACAACCCGTTATGTGTGCACACACTGCATCATTTCATATTAACTGTTTTATTGTTTTACTTTCAGTGTACATTCTAAGAAATACAATTTGAATAAAGTATTTCCGCGTATGATGAAATTAAAGATGTTAAACATATCAATGTTTCACCTTCATAGTTTGGTCCCATTAAAGAGAAATTATACAGCATTTTTTTTGGCAATGAGCTGAAATGAGAAACAACAAAAGACAAAACAAAACTGAGCTTATCTGGGAAATATGAGAGAGATACATGGGCAATGTTGCCTTAAACAGTTGCACCAAGTGTTGAAATTCAGCTTAGAATAACATTTACATCTTTAAGCTACTTTGATAGGAGAGGCTAGTTGTCGCACATGAAGCCCACCTGCTGTCTGATGTTTGTGGAAAGCCTCATCTTGCGGCGGAGGTATGGAGAGAAACCTGATTGTGTAACAAAACTTCCTGAGTAGAAACAATGCAAGGCTCCAGGACTGACGGCGCGCAGCGAGGAGCGACATCTGAGGCACTTTCAGAGACCGATTGTTACTCTGAGACAATTAAACCAAACATTAAGGACTGTGGGTGTGCTCGTGTGTGTTTCTTTGTTGGTGTTTGTGTTCACACAGGCATTGTTGGTTTTGTGCAACGCTTTGCAGGACAGAAGTCTGTCAGTCTTTGGTCACTGCTGAGGAGAGCAGCTTTGGCACTTTGTAGTAGTGAGTGTGGTGATATGCAGGGTGCAGCATCCAGGCTCTAGACTCTGTTACTCTTTCACCTCCAGTTTTTCTCAAACACACCGTAGTTAAGTCACAGGATCGATAAGCTCTCTGGCTGGTGGTGGCCGGCTCCGCCGACCTCTGTCTTGTGGTCAGAGGTGGAAAAGCTCTGCATCGCCCCGCCTTTGGAGAGCACCATCAGGGTGTCCCCCGACATGCCCCCGAACTCAAAGGCAAAAGTCCCGTAGAAGAACATGATGATCGAGCAGTAGATCCACTCAAAGATGGCAGAGGCGTGCTGCAGGGCATAGCTCTCCTGGCAGAAAAAAACCCCACCTGGTGATCAGAGGGTTAAGGCGAGCAACGGCTGCACAGTGGTTCAGTTTGACATTGTTTTTATTGCTCACGTACTGAGACGTACTGGTCGCTACTTTGAATTCGGTCCTGTGCTGTTAATATTAAGATGGCTTCACCATCACATTGACCTGTGGTCAAACCTGACCCTCTAACACAAAGGCCCACCTTAAAAAAAGTGATGGTTTACCTTTACCATTAACAGCCAGTAAAAGGTTTCCTGTGTCTGAATGCAAGCCTCACATAGACTCCAATCAATACCATCAATACCTTGATGACCTGCCTTTTAAAGGTGCATTGCAGATGTTTTATCCCTAAATGTTTCCTTACAGACTTGACAGCAATAAACTCATCAGACACATAATCTTCATAACCAAAAACTCCAAGTGAGCATTTGGTTTCAGTCATGTTTGTAAGGCTGTGTGCTCTCCAGCAGGGGGCAATGCAACAAACCATACATTATAAATGTGCTGGATTTTAAACACTATGAAGTCACGTGTGCAGACAGACAAGAAATTAGTTTTATACTAATGTGCTGATTTATTGCACAAAGCTGAGTTTCTCAGGATTTATGCACAAACAAAGCCAGTTATTGTGAAGCAAAATGACCCTTTTCTCCCTCATATATCCCTGCAACCCATTCATGCTGTTTTAAAGGTTTGATTATCTACAAATGCATCTTTTAGTAAATTTTGGGGAACAAACTGTGTTAAGTATAATGGATCATAAAGTAACTACTAAAGTGCTAACACACTTACAATTATGTCATTAAATATGTTAAAATGGTCTTAAGTTCTCTTCTTAATGCAAAAGTCATGTAATCAGTACTGTAACAAGTCACTTTCATTACTTTTAAGAAAAGTAACAAATAATGTGCAATAATACATGACCTTTTTTGGCTCATTTAACCATCATGAAAGAGAAAGAAAAACTATAGTTATATTGACCCATCCATTCACCCTGAGCTCCTTGTTCCTGTCTCTGTGGCTCCATAAATCTACAACTTACGCTGCCATAGGTCCTACAGCCACTAGAGGGTGCCATGTCTCGAAATAAATCTTTCTCATCCAGCTCTGACACAACCCTGCAGGGTATCTATGCCACTGAATGTGGTTTTAAACAAGCAAATAAATAAATGCAAGCAACATATGTGTTAGGGAGGTGTTTCACTAAAAATGTACTGTAGTGCTGGAAGAAACACAGATAAGCTTCAAGGATACTGAGCACCAGGGCGATGAGGGCCAGCAGGGCCATCCCCACTCGTATGTGACCTATCCAGTATTCCTCCTGGGTCTTGGCCAGTCTGTAGGTCAGAGCCGACTGAAGGCACACAAACAGCATGCTGGAGGGGAAGGCGACCCCAGCTCCCACGTAGTGAAGGACTTTAGCAAAATCCACCTGAAAAAAAAGAAAACAAAACAGGCGGATAAACAAAAACTGTTACACTGAGGATCTGGAAGTAGAAACACGGCACGGAAGAGAAAGACATAGTCGGTCTTTCTCATCCACTATGAGAACTATGAGAGGACGCCGCTAACACGTTAACAAGCTACACACGCTAACGCGTTGACGCCGTCCAGCCCCACGCACGGGGCGATCCACGCTAACTCGCTAACGGTGATTTGCAGCATTAATGCGGTTATGGCGTTAACGTCATTTTAACGAGATTAACGCTGACAGCAGTATTTTAAATGCAACTAAAATCCTCCTCTTTTGTGTTTAGGACAAAATAAATTCATGTGATATCACCAACTGTCTTTCATAATGCTCAACATCATCATATAGCAGCCACTGTTTGACTGATGTGAGCTCAGCACCAGGCTTTATTTGATTTTCTGCACTGAAAATCACGTTAACCGGAGGATGAACACTGCCACCCTGTTGACTGGGTGAGGTTTAAATTTGTTGTGTAAACCAAAATATCTTAACAACTCTGGGAAATTTGTGTTATATTAACAAATGTAACATAAATCAATTACTGGATGTATTTCTCTCAAATACGCCTTCAGACTTTAGTATAAATCTGGAGATGGAAGTTTAAACAAGTCCTTTACTCAGCAGAATATCATTTACACCTCACAGTCTTCTTGTGGGAACATCAGGACAAAACAAAGCTGATAGAAATGCAAACAGAGGTCATTGTGACCCAGCACTGTTACCAAATCATCTGTCACAGGAAGCTGTAATGATACTAATTTACAAAGGAAGCTGGATCATCACCATTATCATCTCTGGCACTGGAGGAGGCGACACGGTGTCAGCTCGAACTCCACACATAACAAGCCGGAAGATTACCCGTCACTGCCATGAGCTCATCTCGTTTCAGCATCACAGACGGAGGAAGTTCATTTTTAATATTTTCTCCTGCAGTCTGTGAGAGCACGTTTTCAAATACAGCAGCTGATTTTATGACGACACATCTCCTGAGCCTGGACTTGTGGTTTATCATGGAGAAAAAACAGCGGTTTAAGCCGTCTGACCACAGGGAAGAGACCCAGAGAACAAACAAATACTCATTCAGCTTGAGTTATAATTGTGCTTACACCAAGCATCTGAAAGTTTTTTGTTCATGAGCTACTTTTATGTGGGTCGTATCCTCTCATATTCATCTCAGCATTAATTATAAAACTGATTCAAAGAGAAGGGCGAGCAGGAAGATAGATAAATCTTCACATACGAACAGAGGAAGAGGAGTCAAATGCAGGACAGTTGACAGGTAAGCTGAGGCTGTGTAAAATCCTAAAAGCAAGCCATATACCAAAGGGCAGTCAGGGAGGCCAAACAATCCAGGCAACAGGGCACACAGAAGGAAATAACTACAAACACAAGGAAAAATACCGAGAAAATGAGCAATTGTGCAGCAGGAGGTTTATGTCCTGAGGACACTTATTAGAAACAAACAATTACCAAGAAGGGGTCACAAAGAAAGACAAGAAGTAAAACTGACAACAGTGTAAAGAGAACAGTCCAAAAAAGGACCGCCTACCTGCTTTTCCTAACCACTTTTCCTCGACCTCGACGGAAAACATCACGAAGCGAAGGAAAGGAGCGAAGGAGAAATGATGAGCACTGTGCACAGAAACTACAACACCCAGAACATGGACTACAAAATGTGTTTAACACAGCTTTATCTTTATTTTGTGAATTATGGTGCGTTATTATTCCCACGTGTTTTTGCACTACAGTATCGGCCTGCAGGGTTCTCGGGTTTCTCAGTCAGATCCACACTTTGCTCAGGTCATCTGCTCAGCTTCATGCTGCAGAAGCAAGTCTCTGCAAACATTTCGATGGCGTTTCCTACGTCCATCTTTATTCAGTGTCTATGTGTGATTTAAACCTTATTGTTGGTGCTAACTTTTTGGGTTTTTCTGGTGATTGTGACGACTGGAATAAAGGTCATAAATCTCTTCTGATTAATAATAAAGAGCCTTCAAAGCTAAAATAACTCCCTGGAGGTCTTGAAATGATCTTGAAAATGTATATATGAATTACTGTGTCAGGCACTGTGGAATAAGACCTGGGACATGGGATGATAAAAGGTTTAAAAATGCAGACATACCACCGATGAATGAGACCACAATAAGCTCTTTGTGGAACGATGCATGATGCAGAACAATGCTGCAGAAATTTTCCTTTTCCACGCAGACTCTTGGCCGCATCATTCGTGATTTCCTGAAACTCCAGTTCAGCATTCACCCTTCTTTCTCTGAGACATAAACAGACTGGATGAAGCTGTTTATCATTGTGTCAGAGCCATGCGTGCTTCTACAGTATATGAGCCCATATCACTCAAGACGTCTGCCATGTTTACACTGTGGGAAACACTGCGATTCATTATATAAGACCGAGCATAGAGGGGGAGGGAGGAGGGCGCCACGGCCAATCGGCGAGCAGGGGAGGGTCGCCCTTAATCGATGGTGGGCGAATGGATGAAAAGAACTGAGGCTGCACTGTGCAGTGACTCTGAGATGTATTTGAGGGGGCCCACATGTGCAGAGACAGGGCAGCAGTAACCTGAGACCCCAGCCTCCCTGCATTACTGTGACCTCTGGCAGCGTGCACACGTGCCTGAATATTATCACTTCTATGTCAAAACAGCTCAGACGGCCGCCACATGCACACGCACAGTAGAAGCTGAAGTACTCCGATCTTTTAATCAGCCCACAGTTTGTCTACTTTATTCTATTGGGACTTTCTTTGCACAAATGTTGCTGGATCTGTACTTTATTTAGTCTCAAAATCAGTGCAGACGTTGTGTTTACGTACAACCAGTACAAGATGACACACACTCACATTGCCCTGTGAGTTCATTATGCTATCACTAGTTGGGCAGCTATAGTCCCAGATCAGCTGATCATCAAACCACAGCTCATCCAACTGGTGAATCTTTGGCCTACTATATTAACCGGCCCACAGCTGCTGTGTCTCTGCAAGCCACTTTGCAACCCTCCTCCACCTGATCTGTTCATGATGTGTCCGACTGCTTCACCTCCTACCTGAACTAACGATATGCTCAATATATATATATATATATATATATATATATTTAAATCAGCAATCACACAGCAAGAATCAGCTGGTTCTGAGCTCAAGGACAACAAACCTTCAAAGAACAAAATGGACCAGAGCACACTGATCACATTAGAGCCTTTACATTTGCAAACATTACTTTTGTCTCCCCTAAAGTATCTGAATCAGTGATTACAGGTTTAAATTAAAGTTAATGTAATGCACCTGTGTTTGCCTGCAGTGACAAGTCATAATATGTGATAAGAAGATTAGGAAAGGCAAAGAACGCAGAAATGATAAGGAAAATCTTTCATGTAATTTGTGTCTTTGAAGTGCTGTGAAGTAATATTAAACAATCCTCACATGTATTGCATATTAAATTGAGTGTAGGATACATCTAGAGCTGTAAAATAAATGTATTGGATTAAAAAGTCCAACATGTCTCAGTGACATGTTCTGCAGTAAAAATCAAGAAATCAAGTGACACAGTTGACTGCACGTAGTTTTCTTTTGCTTCCTATGCGTTTCTTTCCTCTGATCTGCAAACTAAAAACATTCATTATTATCGCGGTGACATTCAGACGCTGCACCGGTGCTGCATTCCTGGCAAAACCAAATCAGCACAGGTTTAACAGAAGATTTCGTGCAAGTCAGAACTTGAAGCACCAAGAAATAAAGGAGCTTGCGCTGTGACCCTAATGTACGCATGTGTGTCCTGAGCATCTGCTGTAAAAACCTACACGTTGGTGCATGTGTTGCAGCTCTTCTCTCTAATGAAGCCATCTTCTATGAATCAGAAGAAAAGGTGAGCCAAAGATTGAGCTTTTTTCTGAAAAATGAACGGGCGCTTTGTCGTGAGAGCGCGCCCTTACATTACACCACGCTCGAGTGTACCGAGGGAAGAAACACAGACGCACAACACGCAGCCAAAATTTTGTTTTTATGATCACAATACCACAGCGAGACAATTTCCAGACAAAACAAACAGAACATCAAAAGGAAATGTGCTTGGAAGCTCTACAAAGAGCTGCGAGTCTGCAGGAGCGAGGATCACCAGAGGCTCTGCAACCGCAACGCAGCAGAAACCCCGTATACGCCAATCCAACATTCACAGCGGTGCGAAAGGACATAATCCAGCTCGTAAGGTCGTAACTCGATTTTTCGAAGACTCGATTGAAATGGGAATGAGAGACAGAGTTGCAGTGCGTGCACGTAGCCACGTTTGCTGAACAATGGGCTGCACCGCAGGCTGAGGTGCACACTGGGTCATTGTGTAACTTCATGTCTTTGATGCTTGACGAGGCTGTGTGAAGCTGGAGAAGGGCTTGGTAACAGGTTTGTGAAAATAGTTATGAAAGTTAATGTTGCTGTAGGAAAGAGGTGTCAAACATAAGGCCCAGGGGCCAAAATCGGACCAGCAGACTCTCCAATCCACTGCACAGCATTCAAAAATGTGAAGGAACAGTAAAAGGACCGCAGCACGCCTCATTCACCGACTTATTCGCCTACAAGAACTTTTTCTACACCCAAGTCCTTTCAATCTAACACACAATTATTCTCTGCTCAAACAGCAGCTTCAGTCTCTTGTCCAAGATACTTGGATACCAGGGATCGAACCATCGGATGACCTGCTCTATGTCCTCAGCCACAACCAGCCCAAAGGTGTCAATTTTGGACTTTTAACTGTATTTTTATAAAGTTTTATAGCTTTACGTTTACTGATAAAGGCTGCATACATGAGTATCCATGTTACAAAAAGGTAGGCAATGGATGTAAGATTATAGATTAATAGATTAAAGAAAAAATGAAATAATGGAAAAGTTCCTGGTTTCTTAACATCTACTAAGGATTTTCTGTTTTTTATAGACACAGCGATGTACACATGGATACATTTTTATTAATCTTGACTATGAAAACCAACCTTTTTAAGGACTTTTAAGGACCCAAAATGATTTATTTGAAGCCAGGAAATCTGCCCTGAGCTTTATTTAGAAGCTGACACGGCTGTTAAATATAAATTACATCACAACGATGTGATCGTGTCAGCTGCACTGATGTTCTTGGAACATTAACTGTATAAACAACGCGTGAAAATTACACACAGCTCTGAGTTTTTAACACTCGCTCCTGTTTGCTCCCCTCGCTGCCTCCTCTCCCCACTCTGGCCTTTCACAGCTGCCTTCAATCCACATTGGAGCCCATGGATGTATAAACACACCATAATCCCACCACCCAGGTATTAGTCAGTCCTTGGGAATATGCATTGGAGCCTCTACTGTAGGTTTATTTACATGAGAGCCTTTAGTTGATACATGGCAGCTCTTACAGAGGAGAAACTGTTTAATAAAGGTTACTGCTAACTCAGTGTTTGCACAGACACAATTAATGAGATATGAGCTTTAACATCAACTTTATGAATGAAAAAATGAAAGAAGAGTCTCAGTCAACTTCAGGTGCAACATAAGGGGAGGAGTTAGAAAAAAAATGCATACAGGTTAGGTCTTTTATCCTGGTAACTCTGTTTTTCTCACGTCAGGATAAAAAATCTGTCCTGAAAAGAGCGTTTGATTCCAAACAAATACGGTCCCTCAAATCATAGTTTGGTTTACAGTGGACTTAAATGAACAAAGTGGTGATCCTGAATGGTATCTCAAAGTCTGGATGCAGGTGAAAGTTGTTTCATTCAACAGACTGGTATGTGCTTCCCTCTTCCCTCAGAGATTAGCTGCCCATTAGCTGAGTTTCTGTTCTGGCTGAGGGGAGGCAGGTCAGTCTGACCTTCTTCATGGTCATCACTTAAATTACCTCCATGCTGTTTGTTACATTCAGGCCTTCTGCTTTCAACTGACCCATAAATCATGAAGTCTTATCTCTGCTGTGTGGCCTGAACACGGCATCAAGCCCGTTCTACCTCCTACTTCACTGCAGTAAATGTGGAAAAGCACAAAGTTACCCAGGTGTTAATACATTTTCTAAAACCAGCAAGTGTTATGTTGCAGGAAAAAAAAACAGTGCACCCAGATTAGTTTGTTTTTAGGCTACACATGGATTACAAGCTTCCACCTCAGTTTCAAAGAAAGCAGCTGCACAATAGCCGGAGGTGCCGTGAATCACACACAGTGAGATTTCCATCTCTGATTATGTAACTTACTTTTTGCAGCTTTTTTTGCAGGATTTTTGCTTTTGTATCTTTCACGTATAAATATCACCCCTCAATTGATGTTGTTGAACGATTGCATAAGAATGATTTGGGGCCTGTCAAGCCCACTATCCCAGTTTCTCTCCCCTGTAATGTCTGTAAAGTCGATCAGATGGAAAATTGGCAGGATTCTGAGTGAAACTGGAACAGAGTTCATAAAATTTGAGTTCATTTAACTGTGAGGATAAACATTAAGTCGTTTAGGAATAATTGCAGGATCCTATCCTCTGAACAGAGTCTGCCTTTTTTACAGGGATCTCTCCTAAAAGAGAGGAGTTAAAGTTTGCAGAAGAATAAAAAACTTCCACTATTATCACCCTTGATTTACATGAAGTGAATGATTACACAGGCAGGGATGAGAGCTGTGGGCGAAGGTCAGCGTGAACAGATATTTACTGTCACTGCTGCTCGTGTGCTGTGAGTCTATGAAAAACTGGGCTGACAAACATTATCCAGACTTTTTTGATCTCATTGACTCTGACTGGATTAATTACCTGGAAGTTTCCCACCATGATGAGCCCCGCGGCGCAGAGCCACCCGGCGGAGAGGCCGGCGGTGTTGAGGATGCAGTTCTGGTGCTTCTCGATCACGTGAGCGTAGCGCAGCAGGCCGATCAGCATCACTGGAGGAGGCGAGGAAAAAAGGAAATGACAAATCGGGAAGAAAGGACCGTTTTTGTTGGTCAAAAAGTTATGTAACCACATTTTTTTTCTCTTCCAGGAAGAGAAGCTCACACTACAAACTCTACCTGAGGTGTTTATGATTGCTCCAGCGGGATGAGCTCCATCTCTACAGAGCAGAAAAATAACCTCAGGGCAACAAGCATGAAGCTTAGTCCTCTCTGAAACTGATTTGCTTAGGCTGCTTGGAGGCAGCAGACAGAAGGCTTGCATCATTTGTACTAAAAGGGTGACGCTGCTGGTCCATTCAATTCACTACAGAGTCAGATTAACAGCACAGATAGTCTTACAAAATTCCAGCATCACTGGATTACAGTTTATAACAAAGTACATGTCCTCAAGTACTTCACTGAAGTACTAGTTCAGTATACTTGCAGCTTATTTAAGTATTTCCATGTTATGCTACTTTTTGCCTCGATTCTACTACGTTAAAGATGCAAATACTGCGTTTCGTACTCCACACTGTTTATTTTAAAACATTAATTCCTTCTTATTTTACTGACAGGCAGTGTACGGACAAAGGTTTTAGCCCACACCTCTTAATCTTTTAATTCAGGTGTTTTCAGTGCCATTGTCACCAGTGTATAAACTGAAGAACTTAGCCATTCGGTCTGCCTTGACAAACATTTGTGATGTAAAGGGTTAATCTGAGGGTTAAAGGGTTATCCTCCATGTAAAGTTACAGAGCGGGGACACAGAGTGCTGAAGCATCTAGAAAAATCCCCAGTGCTCTGCTGAATCAGTAAATGCAGAGCTCCAAACCTCCTCTGGCAGTAACATCAGCACAACAGCTGTGCACCAGGAGCTTCATGGCGTGGCTTTCCAGGGCCAAGTAGCTGCTGAAGGTGTGATGTGCAGGGGAATCAGTACAAGTATCCTTACAGTATGATTATAGATAAAGCTACTATCTCCACCTGCAACATTGAAATGATCACCAGTTAATTTAACATGCATATCTTTGGGACTGTGGGAGGAAACTGGAGTACCAAGAGAAACACCATGCAAGCACAGGAAGAACATGCTTTAGCTTTAGCCACACCATCATTTTTGCAACTATAAGACTTCCAATGCCCAAACTGCACAGAATAAACCTTTAGTCGTGCTCGAAGCTAAAGCTTGATGATTCTGCACATCCCTGTGTGAGCAGATTCCTGATGTCTGTTTATGAAACGTCGCCTTCAAAGCTTCGCAGCAGTTTCACACGGCTCTCCCACCCTCCTGTCTGATCATCATGCCGTTCACATCTGGCACTCATCTCCCTGCAAACTGCAGAGAGCGACTGTTTTGATGTTCCCGTGGGTTGTCCAGCAGCGAGCACAGTGGTCCGTTTGTGGCGATCGATTGCACGCCACGATAAGACTCCGTGTTTTGGGTTCTGGGTTAGGCGTGCGTTTCTTGGGCTGCTGCACAGCAAGAGTTTGACATTTACCATTCTTCTAACCTCACACTACACCTTTGAATTAAACAAACTCCCCCACCAATATAAACTGAGCATTGTTTATGAAAGGGGAATAAAAAAAAGAAGGAAAGCTTTTGATGTGGGAGAAATGAGCTCGCTCACAAACCCTAATTTTTGCAGACTTCACCGAAATCATCCATAAAAATGGTAATTACAGGAACGAACTTGTTGTTCCTGTATTCCTGCAAAGAGAACAAGAGGTCCTTCCTTTAAGTATTTATCTATTATCCTTCAAGTCAAATTAAGATGTTGTCATTCCTTGACTTGGAAAGAGCACTGCTCAGACACCACGGACCAGGATCGCAAAGTTACACACCAGGGCACAAATGTTTGGTGCGCTTTTGCCAATTTAAGACAGATTTTGAGAGCTACGTATCAGGCATCTGTGGTCTAATGAAATAGAAAGTGACAAAAGCAAGAGAGCGAAAAACAAGAGAAGTAAAGTTTTCTATTAAGCTCTAAAGCTTATTTTTCTCAAGTCTTTGTCGCTGTTTCAGACTATTTTCTCTGATTTTCGTGTCTTTTGCCACAATGAAAAAACACCAAGATGAAGCCCTGAAAAACTTTTGTGCCCCATGGATGGAAAAACAGTGACTGTGTGTTAACAGCCAAGTTCTGAGATAAATCTGGTTCAGGGAAAAAGCCTGAGCTGGAACGGGTTAACAGGTTTTTAAACTTGCCCAAATTCCAGCATTTTCTCAGAAAAGCAGCATGAACCTGGTGTTCACAGGGGAGAGGTCACCTTAAATAAATGGCTCTGTATAGAGAGCAAATAGGCAGCTTCAGTCCAGGACACTCGGGTCAAAGGGTTGACAATATACTGCAAAATGTGTGTGAGTTCACGTTGGATCACAGGAAGCTCCCAACACCAGGAAATTGTGTCTGACTGAGGCTCCTACAGTCGCTTTCAAATCTGGAAAGAACTGCATTCCTTTGAGGCAAACTTCCATTTATGCATTTCCAAAAAGTTGATCAGGGTGAATTCCCTGAGTGTACATTATCAGAATCCTGGCAAACATTTTTAAAGCAAATATAGAAAAAGAGCCAATATACCCTCTGCACACCGGGCAACGAACCCTGAGCAAACCACAGAAAATCAATGCTTTTGGCACACAGAGTAGCTGTCCGTATGGTCAGAGGGTGAATGCTTGTGGGTCATTTTATTCAGAAAAAAGCAGTATCGATGGCCTAGATTGAAGTTTTCTCTCAGATTGAGGGCTGAGGCCAGAGCTGGCCGTGGATTCTGGGGAACAGAAAGTTGGCCGGAGCCTCTCCAGCTGAAAAAACAAGTCCTGTTCAACCAAGATGTTGGGTAAATATGTACGAGAGTAAAAAAAGAAAAAATACTATAAAAGCTGAATATTTGTAGACCAAAACCATCCTGGTTCTTACCCATAAAGGATCCGGTGCTGCATATGAGGCTGAAAAAGCAGCTTTCAGGTGGCAGAGTTCCACATTTACTACAATGGAAACACAGACGAGAGGAGGGTGGTTAGTATGGGCTGTACTCAAACTACGACCCCCTGTGCTTGCTGTCATATACCCCCTTCTCCATATTTTACTTTTTTTTTACTGTGCACAACTGGAAAACCCATATTTGTGTGCTTAGCTGCTCTGTGATACTAAAAACCTGCCAGCATTTTTTCTATAAATATAGAGTCTTTGTAGGAGGTCAGAAAAAAGGACACACATCTGTATCTCCAGCTCAAAAGCATCCAAAACATTTTCCCATCTAGACACAATAAGCCGATTAGATTTTAATCTTGTCAGCAACACTTATTCAGCACCCTGGATGTTTTTGTGGGGGGACATAAGACTTGTGAAGCACTTAACAAAAGCCTTTCGTTCTGCAGAGGTGAGGAGGAGCCTCGCTCGGGCAAGTGCGGACTTATCTAAGATCACGATCTTCACTGCAGCTGCTCGCCAAATATCACTGCAGTTTATCTGAAACCGGATTAGTTAAAGAAGCGGACGACATCACTTTCTGGAGCTACATGTAAGACTTGCAAACCCTAAAGCAACAGTTTCAGCTGATGTTTGTAACGCTGCATGGAAACAAAAACTGATTTTCAGCCCCATGAACAGCTGCAGATCTCGTGGATTCCTGACAGTTCACAAGGATTTACAGGTTGAAGCAGGCAGGTTTTTAAACTCTGAACTTTCGTAGCTTGTTAGTCCCTATTTCATGGATGTCAGATGCTTAAATTGGGTCAGTGAGCTTACACTGAGGGCTAGATGTGTGAGTTTGCTTTAATTTAATCCCCAAAATAAAAAACTACCTTGGATTTATTGGTTCATGTCCTATAAAAGCCTCTTTACCTGCACTTTAAAACAGTCATGCAGTAGCATTTCCTCTGCCTTATCTATCATGATGAAACTTTGTTTTTCCAGCTCTGACACTTTGATATTTGGCTTGCATAAATATATTCTGTGAGTTCAACGACTTTCTGAAGACTTTGTTTGATGTCCGTGGCTCCACATTTCTGCTGGTGTGTTTTAAAAATGACAACACAAAGAGTCTCAGACTGTCCTCTTACTTTTGCAGCTTTTCTTGTGTTATTTCAATTAGTAGTTTTAGTAAAACAGGAAAATTTTGTTTCTTTTTTTAGAAAAGGACCAAAAATCAAGCACGTGCTTGCTCCAACTGAACAAAAGCAGCCAACCTCGAAAATAAACCACTGACCACAGCAGGGCGGTTTGCTGTGTCACATCATCTGACATCTGTGGTCAGATCATGTGTACAGCATAACTTTTTTTGTGTTTCAGTGAAATTGTTATTACTGCAAAAGCAGAACTAGGACCATCAGTCTGCTTCCTCTTTGTGGTTTAATGAAGGATAGGGCAGGAATGCCTGCAACGTGCAGCCGTTCTGTTCTTTGAAGTTCCCAAATGTTACAAGAAACCAGGAGTTTAGCAGGTAAGCAAACAGCAGCAGCAGCTTAGCATGGAAATTAAAGTCCACCTGTAACACCCGCAGAGGTGGGCTCACTGACCTGATGAGTGGTATGTTGTCCAGGGTGCAACACAGTACAGGTCCCCTCTGTAATGGAAGCGGCTCCACACAGGACTCATTGTAAACCCTAGAAAAACACACATGTGCATCCATTTATTTCAGTTATTCAACATGATTCAGTGTTCGGAACAATCGTTATCTCTCAGAGCGCCGAATTTCTTGCGGTTGCTCGAATTTCTTAAAGTAGGATGGGAGGCCTTCAACTATCAGCCCCATCTCCTTTTTTAGGATTATGCTTCAGACTTGGGACAGCATGGTCACTGGTGTTGGGGTTCGAATGCACCACCTAGCCGAGGCCTTTCTGCATGGATGCGTGAGTTCGCTACAGGTTCCAGCTTCCACCCACAGTCCAGAGACATGCAGTTAGTGCGGTTAGCTGAATGTGATTGGTCATCTGTCTCTGTGTGGTTCAGCAATACAATGGCAACCTGTACACTGTGTCCCCCACCTATCCGAGATGGGCTTGATCAGGTGACTCCGGAGTATTGCTGTTATGGGCCCACACTGCTGGGGGATTTCCCATGATGCCACGCACTTCTTCTCCACTCTCATCTTTTTAGTCTCCATGTGTTTCCATTCCACTACTTTATGTCATTATGTTTATTGACTGACGTTTGCTGTTTGTGGCCTGAATCTGCAGGAGGTTTGTTCCTGTTAAAAGTGAGTTCTTCTTCTCCACTGTCGCCAAGTACTGCTTACATGGGATCATCGAAATGTAGGTTGTCTAACTCCCAGTAAAAAAGGTTGAGTAAAAATGTGATCTTAGTGTTTCACATGAGATCAATGTCAATTCAGGGAAACTGAAGTGACCAAACGTGTTGAAAACTCTGTTAATGGTTGAGCATCAGCTGCGACACGTTTGGCATGATAGCGCTCTTACTGTACGCAAATGACGGTAGAAAATTAACCCAAAATGTTTTCAGGTGAAAGGTCTTTTATGTAACACAGTTAATGTTCAGCTGCATACTTTGTTTTTATTTTGATTTCTATTCTCCATTTGTATGCAAGTGACTCAAACCGATGTCTCATTTAACTCAAATGCAAAATAGCAAACTACATTCCTGCATTACAAATGTTAAAAACTGGGTTTGTAACATTTTATCTATAAATATATACCTGTATTTACTAAAATACCTGTATATGCATGTAGACAGGGCCTAAATCGACATATATGTGCAGATACAGCACTATGGAGATATGTGGTCCCAATATCCCAGTGGCCATATGTTGAGAAGCAGGGTACACCCTAGACTGGTCAGAGTGTAACACAGTACCCGTGGAGAGCAAGCAAACCCCGAACACAGCTTGAGAGAAAGTCTGTTTTATGTGTTTTTATTTGTTAAGGACACGCTCCTGTTTACAGGTAAACACACAGAGTGAATCTTTAACCCTCATTATTTGATTTGGCTGATTTTGTTTTTTACAAACACTCAGAGAACTAATCAACTTCTAATCTGATATGATGACAATGTTATCCAACACTCGCTGCTTCACTCATTCAGCAAATAAGGAAAATCACTGTTATCATCCCTGGAGTTTTAGTTTGTAAATATAAATCCAAGATTCACTCTATTTATCTCTGAAGCTGCATTTCCACTCAAGGAGCCCTGATATTTCCCACTGTGATCTATATTAAAGGCCACTGAAGAAGAGAAATCTCAACTTCTGGTTTAAGTGATGATGCTTTGCAAGTGGACTCATTAGTTAACATGTTTTTGTACATAAGTCACAATGTTTTTAGCATCTTTAAGCTTTCTTCCTGTTGAAAGGATTTTTTCTTTCCCACTGTGCCCAAGTGCTTGTTATTGTAGGGTCTTTACCTTGCAAAATAAAGCACCTTGAAATGACTGTTATGATTTGTGATTTGATTTGGCGCTTTTTAAATGAAAGTGAACTGAATTGTCTGGTTTAACCAAGCAGAGCTGAATGCAGTCTTGAGACATTGTGCAACAATCCTGCTTAAGGTCTGAAGCACTTTGTGTAGTGTAGACATCTCTGACTCTTTTTTTTTTTAATCTAATCCACAGTCAAAAATCTATCTCTGTGAAAGTGACCTCTGGTCACTGCACTGGAAACAATTTGGAAAAAGTTTCCTCGTCTCTTTGGGAACGTTCCTGATGCGGAGATGCAGCTTGTGTCTCTTTGGTGCTTTGAAGCAACATTAAACTGCTGACCAATACTATGGTCTTTAAAATGAACCTGATATGTGTGTTTGTGTGTCTGTGTGAGTGCTGTACCAGTTGTTCACAGGGCAGACGTGCTGGTTGTAGAGGGCCATCGCGTATCTGTGAAGACAAAGAAGAAGAAAATCTTTGGTCAAAGATCTGAACAGACGGTTAAAGAGGCAGACAGAAAATGATGAAGATTCAATCATGCTGTCAGGATACGGTCTGGAGATAACACTGGCTCTGCTCTCAAAACATGTCCAAAGCTCTGCCTCACTCGCTGTACTGCAGCATTTGAAAGTATTGTCACATCCAACCACACGAACGTCTCCAGGCTCTAATAATGTTTTCCACTAACAAAACACACATGAATCACCACATGGTTGTTTTCAGAGACGGAGACAGCTCCTCTTCATCACACATGTGCGCCGAGCCGGACGGCTGCATATTAACATGTACTGTTACACCACAGGGATGTTTAAAAAAATGTCAGTTACACAAAACAACCTCCACACACACACACGCAGAGCCTAACAGCCAAACAGAGATCATTCATCACACACATAAATGCACATTAGTACATTTTAGAAGCACATGTTCTCTTACTCCACCAATTTGGTGCAGACTCCTATCTCTCAAACTCAATGCTGGATTTCCATAAAATTCTGAACAGACAGTAATTTCCTCCAGAGGATAAATGCTTCTGGTTTCGGTGATCCTCCGACTTTCTGTCTGGCTGTACCAGGAGATCTTACACACAAAGGTTTGGCAACTATCAAATAGAGATTTTGCACAAACTATCCAGTTAGTTTTTGGGGTTTTTTTTAATGCAAAACCCTCTGAGAAGTCCTTGAAAACAATTTGAAAGTGCTGTTTCTTTCCAAATATAACTGGCAGTTGAGCGAAACTCTAAAAGATGAAGCCAACAAAGAAGTACCAAAAACTGCAATTCCTCTAATGGCCACTTGAGGCTGACTCCCCTGTTAAAATGCTCAACTTTACAGCATTAAAAAGTATTAAAATCTTTGATTCCTTCTTCTATTTTTGGCCTCTTCTTTTTTCAGTCACCTTCATAAAACAGCTGTACAGAGTTGACCCTTTGAAGCCATCATTTCTACTTTTAGTCCTCTAATCTGAGTCGCTGAAGTGGAGTCAAAATTTGTGCTGTTGGTGCATTTTTCTAGGAATTAACTTCTACATAATATACTCTGCTTTGTGCTGCAGACCTCCCAGGAAGTCTGTCTGTGTCAATTATTTTACCACAATCTCTCAAACCTGATGACAATCCAGCTCCTTGTGAAGTAGACTGCAACAGAAATCCCTTCAGTTTTACTCTTCGACTCTTTTCTACTTAAGTTTAAGATCAAAAGCCTGCAAAATGCTTGACATTTCTACCATGATACTTAAGCACAAACTCATGAATCTGCTAATGAAGTTGCATTACAACTGCCAGTTACAACAAGTCTACGCATGTGTTACTGTAACCTGGCTAACCTGATTCAGAAGGTGTCCACTCTCCTCTGTAAAGACATACATGGATTAAGTCACATGTGCTTCTTGTTCAAAGTGTGTGGCATAAAAACTCTACAAATACTCATTTTTACCACATTCAGACAAATTAAAACAGGTTGTTACCAAAATAAATTACCAGTGGACATAAAATCTCCCATATTCCACACCATAATGTTGGTGGTGCACTTTCACTCAGGTTGAAATATGTCACAAATGGCCCATTAGCCTCTTTCAAAACAACTGTAAGGACATATTGCACCATAGATCAGATACACAGGACTCAAAAAAGCAAGATGCCAACAGACATGTGACCGCTGGAGCGTCTTTATTGATCGCTGATAACGAGGGAATTCTCGGGTCAGAAGAATTGATTTGCCCTTTACAAAGTTGATGTGGAGTGAGTGGCCTGACAGAGGCCGTCCACTCTCATCCACTTCCCTCCCTCCCACGACTCATCTTTTTTAGTCCTGCTGCATGTACTTGAAAACTGCATGCGTGTAAACTAAAGTGAAGATCACGGTGTGAATGAGCCGTTAAACTAGAGACTCAGATACACCGCCTCTCTCATCCCATCAAATACTTCAGTGTTCTCAAAGCTGTCAGCGCCGCCAAATCACACAGAAGGTGACCTTTGGATTCGGTGCTGTGATGAATCGAGTTCAGGCAACAACGTGATGGATTCTTACTGCCAACACGTGAAATACGAACACTTGTAAAACACTCTTTGTTTGACCGATGTGTTTCAGTCTTTGGCAGGGACCCTGGTGAATGGCTACCACCCAAAACATGCAAGTCTACCAGTAAAGTTTCTCTACATACAAGTGTTGCTGGAGCGTCAATCTTTTTGGTCTTCCCCATGCACCCTGGAAATAGGTAAAGTTTTACCAGCAATCAAACCAAATTGAAAACTGTGTTTTCTGTGTAAACCTAATCAAAGATTCTTTTCAGTGCAGCATCGGTCACTGCATGAAGTGTAACGTCATCAAACCTCCTATAAGCACTGATCCTCGTGCTCTGGCACGCTAGACTCGCTGCAGTCTTCTCCTTAATGGGAAAAGAAAATCACAGCTGTGGCACTGAAATAGAAGTTGAAACAGGAAATGGCATACTTCCAGTAACTTTCTGTTGGCACTGCCAAAGCACCTTTCACAGGATTCATACTGCTGTGTTAAATCTACCCCGAAGATCCCTGCAAATCCCTTTGAAACCTGAAAGCATAATCTACCCCATAACCTGATGTGCTCCTCCCCGTAACCACATGTCACATCAACACACCCTGCAGCCACGTCCACACTAATACGTTTTCATTTGAAAACGCATCTTTTTCTCTCCGTTTTGGCCTCCCGTCCACACTGAGACGGCATTTTTGTTCAAGGAAAACAGAGCTTTTTGAAAACGCTCTCCAAAGCAGATACATTTGAAAACGCCGTTTTCGTGTCACAGTGTGGACGGTGTAAACGGAGCCTTTTGGAGCTGTGACCAATTAAACTAAGATAGCAGAGGGCATTATATAGCAGCTGTTTTGTTTTCTCTCTATTTTGACAGCCCTATTAA